GAGAGAGAGAGAGAGAGTAAAAGAGACAACCTATAAGTGTTACACACACAAAAAGGCGGTGAGAGGAAGTGGTGAAGAACCTAAAAGTGTCTTTCACTCATACTGCTGCTGCCTTGTTTGGAGAGAGTGTCTGTATGTGGAAGGTGTACAGTGCATCTGCAGGGCTGAAAGTAGAGGAACAGCTGACGGTTGAAGGAGTGGGGGGAGAAAATAAGATGGGAGGGTCTCGGGGAGGCTGAAGGAGGAAAAACAAGTCCATCGTCGGAGTAAGTGGGGGGAGGCAAAGAAAAGGGGGCGGCGCTACCGTACTCATATGAAGGACACCATGTATATTTACTCAAACTCAACCTCTCCTGTTCACGTTAAAAACAGGTCGGATGTTTGTGAGCCGAACCACTTTACGAGACTCTTGTGTGTGTCGTCCGCTCCCGGATCAGCGTCTGGTTACGCGCAGAGAGGATGCGTCTGTCTCTTCAGCTCACACCTGGAACAAGGAAGCAGTGAGAGAGCCCTTTTGTCGTTGTTTCAAATCTTTGTAAAGCTGTTTTTGCTCGCAGCAGAAGCAACGCGAAAGACGGAATTTGTTTCCTTTTTTTAAACACTTTTTAAGGGGACGACTTTGGAATATGCGCTTTTATGTGCTCCATACCCGGACTTGGTGTGCGTTTAGTTTGTGACCGGTAGCACCACCTGTGACACCGGCGGGCACCACTGTGAGAGACAATTTGGTTATCAGCTGCGCTCAGTCCTTAAAGAAAGGTTACAATTGCAGCCAGGATTTGTTGCACTGTGGGCGCAGGAAAATAACAACTGCTTATTTTATGTTTTGCATATCTTTTCTATTTGTTCACTTGTGTTTTTAAAAAATTCCGATAAGCCTCATCTTCAAAGTTGCTGACAGTGCAACAACGATCAACTCTCATCTGATAAAGAGCGGCGCGTTCCGGTGGACGTGGTTTTTACGCACGGGCTCGAGGCGAGACGAGCGCACGCGGTCAGCATCGGGTGCTGCGAGGTGGAGAAGAAGATAGAAGAAAAAGCACAACCAAAGAAAAAGTCCAGCCATCGAGATGACGGACGGTGCAAGACAACGAAGCAGCACGTCGGGCTCTGCCAAGGATGCTGCCAGCGAGAAGGAGTCGGGAGGCGGAGTGGCGCTCAAGAAGGAGATCGGGCTTGTGAGCGCCTGCGGAATTATTGTTGGTAAGTCTTAAAATCCTATTGTCATTTCTATAGAGCCACATCTGCCATATGGTGCGACCACTAGTCTAATAAACCCCACAACAACTCAACTCCCCCTCTATTTAGTGCACAGTTCATGTGTCCCTTTGTATGAAGAGTGCGTTTGAATTCAAATAAAGGAGATGCAGAGGGAGAAAATAGGAAGAGTGTGTGGTGCACTGGGATCAGGTTCCACCGTTCAATGAGGAACATAAAGTTTATGATGAATCTGTTGGTGGTTTTGAGATAAGGATGTGCAATATTTTAACTCAGAGTTATGAATGTCACCTGCAGCTGTGCGCCAGGCCAACGTTTACTATAAACTTGATACACACACATGTGATGACAACCTAAAAGGGCACACACACACACACACACACTGTGTTTGTAACAGTAGCTCAGGGCCAGATCTCTCTCGGTCTTGTGCCTTCAGCCCCCGCTGCAGTCATTAATCAGTGAAACTTCCATCATTTCTTTGTAGCCTGGCCAGTGCTCATGATGTCCTCAGCCTCACTCACACCTCTGATGCTCAGAGGATTAGTCCATTCAGAGTAATTTGTTGGCTCACATGACTGACAGGGAGATGGCAGGCTGGCAACACGTGTACAATTCACCCTACAGCTCTTGTATTTGCCATAAAAGTATACAAGACTAGGTTTAGGTCACTTTGATAGAGACATGCACATTTAAAGAAGTTCTTTACTCTGAAGTCTGAGAAAATATGCTGTAAAAATTAAGACCTGTCTTTT